TGCACTGACTCACAAGGGACTAATTATTTCCTCACTTTGAAAACTTTGAATTAGAGCAATTATCTCCTTCCTAGATGGCACACACCTTCACTTGGCTTCTACTAATATATCAGGAAACAAAATCACTCAGAATTTTCTCTTGAGAGACTGTCTGCTGCAACTCTCCCAACCTCTTATCATGCCCCTCTCCCCATCACAAATCAAGCACAAAAACATCTTTTTTTCTTACTCTCCCCTTCTGAAGTGATGAAGTTCTGAACTTCTGGGTTTGGGGAACTTGGTTTAGGATAAACAAGTTACCCCAGCATCACCAGCATCACACAAGAATAGCTGTCTCAGATTTAGATTGATATAAAATAAAATTTATTAGGGCATTATTAGGCAGATGTTTTCTTAACCGTGGGGCCTGAAGGACCCTGCTAAAGAATATTTTATGAAATACTTGCCATTAATTTTCTAAAGACCTTTTTCCTTGGTGATTGTAACAATTGGTTATCTATATGCAGAAAAACATATGATCTCTATTGTTTTCTTTTTTTTATTGCAGTAACATTGGTTTATATCATTGTATAAATTTCTGGCATACATCATTATACTTCTATTTCCGCATAGATTACATCATGTTCACCACCCAAACACTAATTACAATCCATCACCACACACATGTGCCTAATCACTTCTTTCCCCCTCCTACCTCCCCACTTCCCCTCTGGTAACCACCAATCCAATCTCTGTCTCTATGTGTTTGTTTGTTGTTGTTTTTATCTTCTACTTATGAGTGAGATCATATGGTATTTGACCTTCTCACTCTGATTTATTTCACTTAGCATAATACCCTCAATGTCCATCCATGTTGTCACAAATGGCTGGATTTCATCGTGTCTTATGGCTGAGTAGTATTCCATTGTGTATATATACCACATCTTCTTTATCCATTCGTCCCTTGATGGGCACTTAGGTTGCTTCCAAGTCTTGGCTATTGTGAATAATGCTACAATGGACACAGAGGGGGCATGTATCTTTACGCATTGGTGTTTTCATGTTCTTTGGATAAATACCCAGCAGTGGAATAGCTGGATCGTATGGTAGTTCTATTCTTAATTTTTTGAGGAATCTCCATACCGTTTTCCATAGTGGCTGCACCAGTTTGCACTCCCACCAGCAGTGTATGAGAGTTCCCTTCTCGCCACATCCTCTCCAACACTTGTTTCCTGTCTTGTTAATTACAGCTCTATTGCTTTCTTATAGGTCTCCTTGGATTCTGTCAACCTCACTTGTTTCCTCAATCTTTTGCTCAACCTTAACTACTACCTCTTTAGCCAAACCAGCCCCACGCCCAGAAACCCTCGTTCCTCCAGCCACTTAAAGATTCAAATAAACACCACTTACGGTCCTCTACTAGAAGGGGAGAAGACAGGAGTTTAGAAGAAGCAAGCAAACGAATCCCCTCTCCCTTTCTCGCTACAAAGGACTCTTCACAGCACAATGTCTCCACAAAGCCTGACCAGAGCACTCCTGCCTGGCCAAGACTGTAGCTCATCAGAAAACAGTGGTCAGCGTGGTATTTCATCATACTGCATTGTTTATCGTGTTTTCTTGTCTACTTTCTTTTACCCTTGCTATACTAGGATTACATCTTCCTAAATAACTCTTTACATTTAATCCTTGACTAAGGTTCATGATTTCTAGAGCAAGCAGGCTGTCACCAACCAAAATTAATAACCATTCATTTAAAAACATAAATGTTTAATTCAAAAGATTAAAACAGAAGAATATATAAAAGACATTTTTAATCATCTAATTTTAATGTAAAACATGAATACAGAAACACCACACCAAACATATGTATAGCTTAATAAATTATTGGGACTTGAACACCTTTGTAACTACCACCCACATCAAGGATTAGAACTTTGATAGCAAGCCCAGAAGCCTGTCCATGTGTCTCATTCCAATCACAATCCTCACATCCTCAAAAGTAACAGCAAACCAGATCTTTGTAGTAATCACTTCCTTGCATTTCTTAATGATTTTATCACACCAGTCTGAATTGCTACACACTATAGATTAATCTTCTACATTTCTCTCATTTGATATGTTTTTAAGTCTATTTTAATCTACAGTTTCTCTCTATAGCCTTTTTATTTCCTTCTAATCTATTTGTTGAAGAACCTGGGCTTTTTGACTGTAGAATTTCCCGTAGTCTGGATTAATGTGATTCCATCCTCATGGCACAGTTAACATGTCTCTGTTCTCTGCATATTTTTCTGAAACTTGGTAGCTGGTTTCAAAGGCTTGATCAGACTTAAGTCTGATGACAAATGAATATAATCTTTTGGAAGTAACTGTAAATATCATTATGAATTCATGGATCGAATATATTTCACAGACATCAAATGGTTGCAATTATTATATTTTATGGAGCACAGTTTCTCTCATCTTTGGCCAACAGAAATCTCCCCCAGTTGACTCCTGAAGCCTTCTAACATAAGCCTAGTAATCTTTGATATCTGGTATGACAAGATGTCACAAGCTCAACTTGTAGATTTCCTGCCCCAGACCTGAAAACAGCCATTTCTCCAAGAAGCTCTGGTTTCTTCTATTGGGAAATAGTATTGCAAGCCCACAATCTGGGCTTAGGGATATATAAAATAGGCCTATTATATATATAATGAGTCCATCCTGATAGATACAATTTAAATACCAGACTCTAGAGACTTTACCCAACCTCTTCTATACTATTTTTATAGCTAGAATATTTCATAATTGTCTACTTGATCTTACATTACACACACACCAGTCCTAGAATAAAATTTCTGTCTCCATTGATATGATTACTGAAAACTATTAGAAAAAAATTTTGCATATGTTCTTCCCATTCTTTTCCTGTTTTAAAAAGAGGTGTAATAGACCTACTTTGTCACAGTATATAGCTATCACAAGAGACTACTGTTAAGTGCTTTGAGTGGAAAGGACTTTTTAAATAATATACACGAATATAAATAATAGATGAAAAATTAAATTTGACAGCAGAAAATTAATACTTCTATATGACAGAAGATTTCATTAAAAAGGTGAACGGACAAAAAACCCAGACTGACAAAAGATATTTCCAACATGCACATCAGATAATATAAGATAGGCATCCACAATATCTAAAGATTATATCTATATCCTTACAAAATTAGCCAAGGACTCAGGATAAGAAAAATGTGAAGCTGCATCTCTCCTCCCCATTAGTCTCCCATTTTCTCTACTTAGCTCTAAAGAAACTTTACAAAGTATCTAGATTTCCTGAAGAATCTTCTGCCAAAATATCTCCTCTGTTACAGTGAGATGTTTGCAGAAGCAAGCAAACTTTTTTGGCAGTTAGAAGCAGGATGATTTCTTTTATTTTTTAATTAGTAAGGTGTTATTATGAAATAGGGCTTGAAAGAATGTAAAGATGTATACACTAAAGAGTTTTAGTCCCAGCACTATTCCTATTAGTCCCCTTCTAACCTCCACATCCTCAAGATAATCAGTTTCCTGTGTTCCCTTTCCAGACCTTTCTTCATGCAAAAATATGCAAATATAAATATAAATTAACTTTTACTTTTATCTTACAAAAAGGTAACAAACAAAACAAAATGTTCTACTCTTTGCTTTTCTTACTCAATAGTATATTTTGGAGATCTTTCTTTTAATGATATAGAAAACTTTCTCATTGTTCTTACAGCTGCATAATATTTGACTGAATAGAAGCTCCATAAATTATTTAAGTAATCACCTTTTGATATACATTTGGGTTGCTAATACCAAGCTGGTGTATTTACAAATAATATTGCTGAAGAAATCTGTAAACCAGTGTCATATTACACAGAAATGTTAATTGAGAATACGATGTGACAGAAACAGGGGCTGGGATGGGACAATACTGTAACTGAGACATAAAGGTTAGGAAGCTCAGGGCAGAGCTGAAAGACAGCTTGGTAAAGTTGGTCCTGGTGAGGGAAGGGAGGGGGGAAAAGAACACAGAAATGAAACCAGCATTCATGGAGAGACATGGAAAAGAATCAGAAAAGAAACTGGGCAAGAGAAGGGACACAGGGTAGCTAAGAGAGAAAAGAGATGGAATGCACATCTCAGAAGTGAACAATGTGAGAAATTCAGGGAGAAGTGACCAGAGGCTGCCTCTTTTTCTGCCCTCTCTGCACTCCTGCCTCAGCCCAGGGGCACAGCAAGGTCAGCTCTCCCATGTCTCTTCAGCTCCCAGAAAACAGCCTCTTTGCTTTCCCACATTTGGGGCTGGCATGATGATGTGAGTGACGCCAGATAAGAAAATGCCTCTTTCCATGACCCTCCCTCCACATCCCGAGAAAGTCGATCAGTTAGAGACATTAACCTGTATTAACACATCGGGTACTGAAGTTGGTAAGGAGTCAAGGTTGTGGAGTGACTTCATGCTCACCACTGCCAGTCAAGAAAATCTACAGAGAGGTACTGTCACTATTGGACTTTGGGGCAGGAATCTCAAGAAAAGCTTGAAGCCTGGCGCTGGACTTGGGATGACTTAGGGAGCTAATATAGGGAGCTGTAGGAAAAGAGAAAATCATGAAAGCACAGCACAATACAAGGGAAGATGACTCCAAAACCTAGAATCAAACATTTAGGTCAGCTGCCAGAGTGTGAATTACACTTTCCTTGCTTTCCAGATTCAGAGATCTGAATGTTCTAAAAAATCACACGTATTTTGTATATTTATGCATGTAAAATTTATTTTGTGAAATGTATTTTAACTACAAATGTGTGTACAAATGTATATATCCAGTTAAAAAATAACAAAGTGATCTCCCATGGAGGAATCATCTAATTATAAAATGGAGCACTGTCAGTATCTTAAAATCCCCTTGTAGATCACAAATGATTTGGTGATGAAAATGATCATTTCAGATTTGAGTGAGTGCTTTCAGATTAGTCAGGTCCATGATGATGAGTCCATGATTGTCCTTAGGACAGAGCTAAACCTTGAGGAGTTGACAGCAGCTTTTCATGACATCTCGAAAGGCCTCTACAAATTTGTCATTCCGGAGGGTAAAGATAAAAGGATTCAGAAAAGGGGTCACCACTGAAGCCAACAGTGAGGCCACCCTGTTGTACTCAGCTGCCTGTGTTTGCTTGGGTTTCACATAGAGGAACAAGCAGGTGCCATAGCCGATCACAACAAAGGTGAAATGGGAGGCACAAGTAGAGAAGGCTTTTCTCCGGCCAGAGACTGAGGGAATCTTGAGGATGGTGGAGATGATGTAGGTGTAGGAGACAGTTGTCGGGGCCAGAGAACCAATGATGATGAAAACAGCCATTAAAAAAAGAAGAAACTCTGTGAAAAGACTGTCATCACAGGATAGTTTGAGCAGTTGCCCTCGGTCACATAAAAAATGGTCTACCATATTTGATTTGCAGAAGGTAAGCTGAAATGTGGCATAGACTGGCCAGATTTCAAATAGGAACCCAAACACCCAGGACACAATTACCACCCAGATGCAGGTGTGGCTGTTCATAATGATGTTGTACCTCAGAGGGTTACAGATTGCCACGTAACGGTCCACAGCCATTGCTCCCATTAATATAAACTCCGATGTACCCAAAGAAAGGTACAAATAAAGTTGTGCACCACATGCAGTCAAAGATATTGCCTTCATCCCAGGGAGCAGCAACTCCCAGAGCATCAAGGGGACAGTAACGGATGTGATCAGGATCTCCAGGACAGAGAGGTGGCCAAGGAAGAAATACATGGGGGACTGCAGACGTTTATCAACACAGACCATCATGATGATGACTGTGTTTCCAATAAATGTCACGGAGTAGAAGAGGAAGAAGGTAGCAAATAAGATATGGCGTAATTCTTGGGAGCCAGGGAAGCCTAAGAGATAAAATTCAGTAGCACTAGAGTGATTCCCGCACATTTAGTTCTGAGCACTTGTTCCTTGTGAAATCTAGGAAGCAAAAGAGATAACACTGCTTCTGATCTCAAAAGAAGTAGAAACAGTTCCAGGAAAAGAAAATATTCCCTTCCTCTTCATAGGCTCCACAACATCACCAGGAAGGGTTTGTGTTCTATTGTTCCCTCTACATGGTCAGGTTAATTTTTTTAACAATATACACGATGTATGAAGAAAATTGAATCTGGCCAAGAAGATGAGCCCAGTCACCAATGCCATCCCATAGGCAAGACAGCCCCCTGCCCAACATGCACCACCTGCATCTCTCAATCCACAGGTCATCCTGCCTCCCACTCTGCTCTGGACAGACACACACTCTGCCTTCCTGACCACTGTGCTCCTTTTTACCACTAACTCCCTTCCATATGGAATGGCCTAAACTATCTTTTCCACCAAGTATATTCTGTCCTGTGTGTCACATCCTATAGAAACATTTTCCTGCCTAATCCTACCCAGAGCTGGTTATGTGTTTGTTTCTTTGTTTCTTCATGACACAGGGTCCATTTGCACCACATTCACTTTAAAGCTTTTTCTTTACCTCCATCATTTGGTATCATTTGTCGTGTGGGTGTGGGAACTCTTTGAGGATTTTCTGTGAGATCTAGAAGGCAACGACTGTCTTTCTCAGGTTACTGGTCAGCTAGTTCTCTGAATGAATTACTGCTTTCTTTCTCCCTACTCTTGGGAGGAAAAGCGTGCCTTGATTTTCTCCCCAGTGAGTATGTCTTCTCATAGGAGGCAGGCTAACCAGCACCTAGGCTTAGGCAGTCAGGGCCCTCTCTCTCACACACTCTAATACCAATACCAGACTGACAGGAGGAGGGTCTAGAGGAGGGCATGGGAGGAGCCTCCATCCTCAATCTCTACCTATCCCACATTGACCTCATGCTGGGACTGCAGATAAGAGACTAAAGGTCCAATTTCAACATCCTCTGCCTTCACCAGAGCTCAAAACCAAATCCAGGAGGAAAGCATAGACCCCCAAATGTGAACTCTGGGTCCAGCCCAGGCCCTACATATAAGTGGCTGTGGTCTCAGTCTAACAGAAATTCAAAAAGTCTCCCCAGAGCCAATGTGCCTTTTACAACCAAGTTTTTCCCCAAAATCATATGAAAAATTAAAGATTCAGTTGTCACTAACATGAAGTAGACCCAAGGACCTGAGCCCCTTAGGATTTCTGGGCTCCATCTCTAATTTCCTTCAGGTCTTTGCTCAAGTGCCCAAGCTCAGGGAGCCTTTCCTCATCATCCTCTCTAAAAGGATCCTCTCTAAAAGACACACCACCCTTCCCTGTCTATCACCTCACCGGGATCTATTTATCTTCTTAGGTCTCCTCATCTGAAATTATATGTTTACTTTTTGATTTTCTGTCTCCTATTTTACAATGTAAGCTCCATGAAAGCAGCAAACTTGTCATGCTGGCCTACTGTTTCTGATACTTGATGAATATTTTTGAATGAATAAATCAATGAATCGATCAATTAAAGAATGAATTTATGAACAAAGCTTATCTAGTCTTGACTATGGCCAATTTTGAAGAAAACTCTGCTTTCTCTCCCTTCAGTCTTCACTGAAACACTGCTCTGTCAACATGCAGTCTTCTCTCTGGAGATCCCTTATAAAACCACAATTGGGTAACAAGGACCAAGGATAGATTTGTTGGGAGAGCTCAGTAATCTACCTTCCATAATTTCTGTTTAGCCAGGGTCAGATGAAGAGACAGGAGAGAGGAGGGTCCTGACAAGACCGAGGAGCTGTGCCTATGTCCAGCATTGAGTCAGGAAAGAGCTGAATTTGCTCTCTGCTCTGCAGGGGGTGATTTGGAGATGAGCCCATCCACTCTGCTGCTCCCTTAGCCTACTCTTCAGGCTGTAGGTATCCTTGTTCTAGAAGGCAGCCAGACCCAGAACTTCCCATCCTGATCCTCTCCTACTCTGTCTTTCACAGAGGGAAACTCTTGAAAGACACTCACCTCCAGAGAAAAGGACTGAATTGGAAAGGTCTATAGCTCTCCGGGATGTGGCCAGGCTACTGTGCTCAGCCTAACTAGTGCTGCGCATGCTCTGGGGGCCAGAGCAAGCTGCTGCTGTCTTCACTCTCAGTGAAAGAGAAAACTGTCTTCACACTAGCACTTAGGAAAAAGTTCAGTAATAATAGTGCTGTGGGAAGCCCAGTTGTCTCTCTCTGGCTTTCTCTCTCCTTTTTCCTCCCATCCCCCACAATTTGTCCCCAAGGAGAGTTATACACTGAGGAACTAAATTTGTCCAAGTTCAGAGAAACCCTAGGGATGCAGTCAAGGGAAATCCAGAGAAACTTCCAGCCTTTCTCTCCTGAGGCTAATCAAATTTTACAACTCTTAAAAGTTTTTTAATGTCCAAACTTGAAATCTCCCTTGTCGGAAGTTTCACAGCACCCAGGCTGCCTTCCTCCTAGGTCCCACATGCCCCACAGAAACATCAGAAAACAAGCAGAAACTGTCATAACTAACATTGTCAGAACTCTAGAAAACATTAAAAGATTTATAGCAACCAAGGGAACAGTTATTCAAGAAAAAGGTAACTTAGGGGCCAGCCCGGTGGCGCAAGCAGTTAAGTGCTCACGCTCCACTGCGGTGGCCCGGGGTTCACTGGTTCAGACCCCAGGCACGCACTGATGCACTGCTTGTCAAGCCATGCTGTGGCAGCATCCCATATAAAGTAGAGGAAGATGAGCATGGATGTTAGCCCAGGGCCAGTCTTCCTCAGCAAAAAGAGGAGGATTGGAAGATGTTAGCTCAGGGCCGATCTTCTTCACAAAAAAAAAAAAGAAAGAAAAAGGTAACTTAAAAATGTTAGGAAAGCTTTGTGGTGCTTTTATTTACCCTTGCCCACACTCTCCCCAGCTTGGCGTTAGTCTTGTAATAGCATTTTGCATTCCCGTTGTGGGACCCCAGTCGCTGGTTCTCAAGAGAGCAGAGCAGACCTTACTTACAAAGTATTGTGCATGTCTCTTCTGACATGTCTGGGGCTACCTGAAGGATTGACACAGGTGCTTGTCTTTATTTCACCTAACACAGAATTCACTCAGGGTGGAAAGTGGCAGGCATTACTCAAGTGGGTTTTTGCTTACTAAAAACCCTCAGCAACCTGGGGCAAAAGATTATTGTTGAGACATGCAATAGACCACCTAAAGCCTCAGAGGGAAAATTTCTTTGCAACATTGGGGATTTAAAAGCACCTGCATAGACTGGGGAATTTAGAAAACCACAGATATGTACCGGGTAAGGTGCATGCTCAGAAAAGACCTGAGAAGACAATAACCTTTTGCTTTAAGTAGGATAAACTCAGAGAGATCCACACCAAGGCACAGTATAGTCAGTCAAAAGACAAAGACAAAGAGAGACCCCTGAAAGCAGCAAGACAGAAGCACCTTGTCACATACAAGGAATCCTTATAAGATTAACAGCCAATTTTTCATCAAAGTTTATGTAGGACAGAGGGCAGTGAGGTGGCATATTTAAAGTGCTGAAAGAAAAAAACTGTCAACCAAAAATTCTGGATGCAGCAAAACTGTCCTTCAAAAATGAGGGAGAAATTAAGACAATTCCAGATACACAAAACTGAGAGAGTTTGTTACCGGTAGATTTGTCCTAAAAGAAACACTAAATGGAGTTCTTCAGGGTGAAATGAAGAATACTAAACATTAAGTTGAAGCCATATGAAGATATAAAGATTCCCACCAAAAGTGGGTTAGTATAAAGCCAGTTTTATTGTAGTTTTGGTTTTTTCAACTCCATTTTTTTTATTTTCTACATAATTTAAAAGATAAATACATAAAAAATAATGATGAATCTTTTTTATTGGGCATATAAGGTATAAAGATGTAATTTGTGACAACATAAAAGAGGGAAATGGTGCTATATAGAACAGAGTTTTTGTATGCTATTGAAGTTAAGTTGGTATCAATTCAAACTATATTGTTATAAATTTAGGATATTAAATATAATCCCCTGGGTAACCAGAACAAAAATATCTAAAAAATATAAACACAAAAGTAAACAAGAAGGGGATCAAACAGTTCACTACAAAAAAATCAAATAACAAAAAAGCAGGCAATAATGGACAGAAATGGAGTAATGGAGAAAATTAAAGACAAAAAAGTATAAGACATATAGAAAACAAATAGCAAAATGGCAGAAGTAAGTCCTTGCTTATCAGTAATTACTTTAAATGTAAATGGATTAAACACTTCAATCAAAAGGCAGAGATTGGCAGAATGAATTTTTTTTAATGGCCCAACTATATGCTATCTACATGAAACTCACTTTGGACCCAAAGGCATAAATAGATTGAAAGTTACAGATGGAAGAAGATATTTCATACAAATACTAACCAAAAGAGCACTGAAGTGACTATGCTAATATTAGACAAATAGACTTTAAGTCAAAAACTGTTACAAGAGACAAAGGATATTATATATTAATAAAAAGGTCAATTCAGCAAGAAAACACAGCAATTATAAAAATATTTGCTCCAAACAACAAAGCCCCATAATATATAATGCAACTATTGATAGAATTGAAGGGAGAACTAAATAGTTCCACAATAGTTGGAAACTTCAATACCCCACTTTCAATAATGGACAAAACATCTAAACAGAAGATTAATAAAGAAATAGAGAACTTGAACAATAGGATAAACTAACTAGGCCTAACAGACATAGTTCTCTCCACCCAACAAAAGCAGAATATACATTCTTCTCAAGGATACCTGGAACATTCTCCAAGATGACCATAAGTTAGGCCACAAGTCTCAACAAAGTTTAAAATATTGAAATCATACAAAGTGTATTATCTGACTATAATGAATAAAACTAAAAATCAGTAATAGAAGGAAAACATAAAAATTGATAAATATATGGAAATTAAATAACACTCTTAACCAATGAGTCAGAAATGAAATTAGAAAATACTTAAAGATAAATGA